CCAAAGCAATGTACACATCTAATGCAACCCCTATCAAAATACCAACAGCAGTTTTCACAGAACTAAAACAAACAATCCTAAAATTTGTATGGAACCACAAAAGACCCCACCCCAATAGTCAAAGCAATCTTGTAAAAGCAAAGCAAAGCTGGAGGCATCACAACTCCAGACTTCATGTTATATTACTAAGCTGTAATAATCAAAACAGATGGTACTGGTACAAAAATAGATCAATGGAACAGAATAAAAAAATTGAGAAATAAGCCCAAAATTATATGGTCAATTAATCTTCAACAAAGCAGGAAAGAATATCCAGTGGTGAAAAGGACAGTCTCTTCAACAAATGGTGTTGGGAAAACTGGACAACAACATGCAAAAGAATGAAACTGGACCACTTTATTACACCACAGGCAAAATTAACTTCAAGTTTGATTAAAGACCTAAATTTGAGACAAGAAATCATAAATATCCTAGAGGAGAACACAGGCAGTAACTTCTTTGACATCAGCCATAGCAACTTCTTTCTAGATAGGTTTCCCAAGGCAAGGGAAACAAAAGCAAAAAGAAGCTACTGGGACTTTATCAAAATAAAAAGCTTCTGCACAGCAAAGGAAACAGTCAACAAAACTGAAAGACAATCTATGGAATGGGAGAAGATATTTGCAAATGACTCATCCGATAAAGGTTTAGTATCCAGAATATATAAAGAACTTATAAAACTCAACTCCCCAAAAATAATCCAATTAAAAATGGGAAGAAGACATGAATAGATATTTCTCCAAAGACATACAGATGACCAACAGACACATGAAAAGATGCTCATCATCACTCATCATCCAGGAGATATCACCTCACACCTGTCAGAATGGCTAAAATCAACAACACAAGATACAACAGGTATTGACAAGGATGTGAAGAAAGGGGAACCCTCTTGCATCATTGGAGGGAATGCAAACTGCTGCAGCCACTGTGGAAAACATATGGAAGTTCCTCAAAAAGTTAAAAATAGAACAACCCTAAAATCCAGAAATCACACTACTGGGTATTTACCCAAAGAATAGAGAAACACTAATTCCAAAGGATATATGCACCCGTATGTTTATAGCAGCATTATCTACAATAGTCAAGATAATGGAAGCAGCCCAAGTGTCCATCGAATGATGAATGAATAAAGATGTGGTGTAGATATACAATGGAATATTATTCTGCCATAAAAAAGAATGAAATCTTGCCATTTGCAATGACATGGATGGAGCTAGAGAGTATTATGCTAAGCAGAATAAGCCAGTCAGAGAAAGACAAATACCATATGATTTTACTCATACGTGGAATTTAAGGGGAAAAAAACAAGCAAAGGGAAAAAATAAGAGAGACAAATCAAGAAACAGACTCTTAACTACAGAGAACTGATGGTTACCAGAGGGAAGTGGGGGGGGCAGAGGGATGGGTGAAATGGGGGATGGGGATTAAGGAGGCCACGTGTGATGAGCACCGGGTGATATGTGGAAGTGCTGAATCATTATATTGTATACCTGAAACTAATATAACACTGTGTGTTAACTGGAATTAAAAAAAAAAAAAAAAACTTCAAAAAAATAATACTAATTGACAGCTTTAAAAAAAAAAAAAGAAAGAAACCATAATCCTCCCTCCCCACGAATTCTGTCAATCACTGGTACTTATGTGCTCACAGTCAGGCTCCTCGGTTCACACATGTAACGTCTGCCCCCTTTCTGTGTCACCTAGGTAACAAAGCTCAATTCCACACTGGTTTTCACAAGAAACCACCATGTGCATTGAGCCTTGTACATGCTATTATAAATTTACTGAATATTTAGGAGGTTGGGGGGACCACATGACTCAGTGAGTCACCTTCCACCCTTTCACTGGTTCTCCTATGCTCCCAACCTTTCTCATCGCCTGGGTCCCTCTTAATAAGAGCCCACAGCTCTCTCTCCTTGGACATGAACAACAGTGTCCCCATGTCCAGGATGCTGCCCACCTCCACTGCTACCCCAAGCTGGCTCAGCAGGAATTTTCACAAGGTCAGTCCTATGGGTATTATCCTAAGGAGAAATTTTCATAAGGGATACTAATTGGGGGGGACCCCTTCACTTTATCCCCCTTGTTTGGGTGACCGTCCCCAGCACTGCCTGCTTACAATAGCTCACATTGATTGAGTACACACGAAAGATCTCTGTGCTAAGTAACACATTAAGATTCCCAACCACTCATAACCCAGAGAAGCTATCAGATGTGGCCAAGTCACTCAGCTAAAAGGCATCAGGGCTGGGATTTGAACCCAGGGTGCTTCAAGTGGGAGCCCCATTACCTTTAGCTATACTACGGACACAGGCCAAAATGGCAGCGCCCACCGAGACACCATCCCAGTATTTGGACACCAGGACAGCCTTGAGCTAAACCACAGAGGACACTTGTTGGTGAGAATCCTTTCCAAGCCCTAAAGGATCACTGGGAACAGAACACTGGCTTCCCCCATCTTTCTCCTGTTTCCCATACCTGGACTATGTAGGCCATCCTTGGCTGTGGGGAGACCTGATGATGCTTGGCAGCTCCAGCACCCCGTCTGCGCACACATCACTGGGCTGGATGTCGCCATGCTCCTGCTGCCACTCCGGTCACGTGAATCCTCCCATCCTCAAGTGTGAGGATGGCTCCGATTTAGGATTAGAAGAACCCTGCACCCTTCCGCAGCCCTCTGGGCATCATGGGAGAGTGACCTGGAAAATCAAATGCAGCGAAGTGTCCCGAAATATAGGAGTCTTGTTTGAGGCACAGTAGAACCTATTAGCTTGAGAAATTGGTCTGGAAATCTTATTAAAAGAGACAAATCATTCTGCCTTCTCTCCAGACTGAAAATATTGGGGGTAATAGACTTTTTCCCTGATGCCTGGGACCCATGCACCTCCTGTCAGAATCACAGCCAACCTCTGGCAAGGCTCAATTCAATGCAGGTGATGAAGGCTCTTATTTTTTTTAATGGGCAGTTCTGATTAATTCTGATTTCTTTGGCTAGCCACCGCCTTACCTCTGCCAGTCCCTCATTACTGTGAAGGTTGCAAGCCAGAAGAGCCAATGGCAAAGAGAAATCAAGTTCAGGTTGTGGGTTTGTCATTATTGCACAGCTCAGTGGGTAACTGTCCAGCACCCCCACCACACACACACCCAGGTCCTTTCTCAATGTGCTCAATTAACCCATGATGGACACAGGAAAGCAAGGCACCATTGCATTATGAAACCTAGCCTTCCTATGCTCATCTTTGCTATTTAAGAGGAATGATAAGAAGAATCCTTCAAATATATGTGTTAGCTATTATCATTATGGTGGTTATGTTTGCTGGACACTGATATGTTCCAGAATAATGTGACTCACTGGAATTTAGTGGATGCTTATTTCATGCCTGGCACTATGCAAAAGGCTTTCTTCACATGTTATCATCTCCTTTATCCTTAGAACAACCCTGTAGGTCAAGGGTTGGCAAACTTGCTCTGTAAAGGACCAGACAGGAAGTATTTTAGGTTTTGCAGGCTACTTTGGGTTATGCAAGGTATTCTCAATTACTCAGATCTGCCGTTGTCATTTGAAAGCAACCACAGACAATACATAAATGAGTAAGTATGGCTGTATTTCATTAAAACTATATTTACAAAATCAGCCAACTGGCCAGGTTTAGCCTGTAAGCCATCGTGTGAACATGTTATTCCCAAGCTGGAATTTGGGCTCTTTTCTCTCTCCTATAATCCTCCTTCCTCCCTGCTCTTCCATTCTGGTTCTAGTTCTGGAGGAAAGATAGAATAAAAAGTTGTTTTTGCATGTGACTGGCCAGGGACAGTTGGCTGATCTCAACAAGAGGGAGAAGGATCATTTTCATGAAGATCCTGCATCCATGGTGGCCATAGGGGGGCCATCAGATATCCCTAGGAAATCCCCAGATTTCCCAACTCTGGGGCTATAGACCTAGACAGGGTCTATCTCCATGCCCCTTCAAAACTGGGGATTTGAGGAAGCATGCTTTGCCCCTCTCTGAGCCACAACCCCTGCCACCGACCTGAATATTCTTTCATCAACAGATAGAGGGGAATAAATTACTGTCTCACCTTGATGGTGCTATAAATGTAGGGAACAATTTAGGATCTTAAGCCAGGGTTTCTCAATCTCTGCTCTATGATATCATGTAGGATGGTTAGCAGCATCCTGGCCTCTACATGCTAGATGCCCATAGCAACTCCCAGGTGTGACCTTCAAAAATGTCTCCCAACATTGCCAAATGTCCCCCGGCTGACAAAACCACTTCTGGCTGAAAACCACTGTCTTTGGTCAAAGGGCAACCACTGCCTTTTGCCCTCAACTGTAGGTCCTAACTCCCAATTCCAGAAAAATAGGAAAGATCACAGGCAGGATTTCTCAGCACCATGTCACATGATCTCTGGTGCAAGGTAAGCATAACTGTCCCCATCTTACGTAGGAGAAAACAGGCCTGGGTCACAGCAAGTGAGCAGCAGAGCTAGGATGGGGACCCAAGCCTGTCAGATGCCAAGGCCTGTGTGTTTCTTAAACTAGTGATGATCTGATGATGAGAGGGACACTGGGAAGGTTTTTCCGGAATGGGGAAGTTTGCCTGGATTCGCGTTGAACTAGAGACTGTACTTGCTCCTTCTAATCCTGCCAGCACTTCAAGGGAGGTATTATTCCCCCTTGCTTTACAGAGGAGGAAACTGAGGCCCAGCAACCCTAACAAATGGTTTGAAATCAACATAGCAAAGATTTTTAAGTCCAGTGTTTCTGTGTTCAGAGCTTTGACTTTTTAACAACAAACATGGGTGGCTGCACCCCAACGGGGAAGTGGGGTCAAGTTTCCCACCTACTACCTTCCTAGCCAGCATGTTCTGCAGGCAGCAGGAAAGGGCTTGGTGATAAATGAGCCCAACGCCCACCACCCCTCCCTCGGCCTCTCTCTCTGACCTCTCCCTTGCTCCAGCTCTGTATGCAGTACTGGCCTGAGAAGACCTCCGGGTGCTACGGGCCCATCCAGGTGGAGTTCGTGTCCGCAGACATCGACGAGGACATCATCCACAGAATATTCCGCATCTGTAACATGGCCCGGGTAAGCATCCAGCCTGCCTCGGCTTCCTGTGCTGCTCCTCCCCAGCCCAGATGGAGGCGGTCCCCAGCCAGCCAGGAGTCTGTGCTGTGCTCTCCTGATCATCCCATCCTTGGGGAAGCGATGCTTCTGCCGACTCCGGCTTCAGACCCAACAATGGCTCCAGCGCTCAGAGACGCACGGGGAAACCTCCAGCCTGCCATCTGCCTCTTTCCTGACACGCTGTCTTATAGTCGGAACTGCTCAGAAATCAGTGCTTCCCCACTGTGCTGTGCTGTTTTGGCATGAGGTGACAGGGTCTTTGATTGGATCCAGTAAGCTTTGGGCTAGACCTTGAGAACACCAAGATGGAAAATAATTAGTTGCTTCCGTGGGGAAATCACTGGCTAGGTGGAGGAGAAGTGGGTGGGAGGGAGCAGATGAGTAGTCTATGAAATAGCTAAAGAACGACTTTGGTCTTTACTGGGGGTCCCAGGGTGAACAGAACTCCATCTCTGCCCTCAGTTCACTGTCCAATGGGAAGGTGAGCTATGTTCTGGCATGTGAGCCTTGGGGGGAGAGATGAATTCTGCCCAGTAGAGTCAGGGAAGGCTTTTCCTAGAGAAAGGGACATTTGAGTTGCGTTTTGGAAACCAGTAGTTTTCCAGGGAGAAAGGGGGTGCAGGGAAGTCATGGCAGGAGAATCCATGTGCACAAAGGTAGAAAGAGGAGTGTGTCCCCATGACGACATAGCATTGACCCCATTCGGTCTGTCTCCCACTCCAGTGCTGCAGCCCCAGGGCCTGTGAAGGGCTTGCATCCCTGGCAGAACAGCCCTAACGGCCTCTCTGTTCTCAGCCTCAGGATGGGTATCGTATAGTCCAGCACCTCCAGTACATCGGCTGGCCCGCCTACCGGGACACACCCCCCTCCAAGCGCTCTCTGCTCAAAGTGGTCCGACGGCTGGAGAAGTGGCAGGAGCAGTACGACGGGAGGGAGGGGCGCACCGTGGTCCACTGCCTGTGAGTGCTATGGAGGGCTCTCTGGGAGTGGGTGACCGGTATCTGTCCTGGAGGATGCCACTGACCATGGGCATGCCTGGCTATACCACGTCTCAACATCCCTTAAAAGCCCAGGGGTGTGTATTCAAGGAATTACAATCTTTCATGGACTGGGGTTGCCCATCTGTTGCCCTGAACTAACTAAGGTTATGTGACATGTTATTGATGCAAAACCTGGTGGTCTTTCACAAACATCGGGTGTGGGCAGGCCGCCCCCCAGCACACCCAGTAGGGAGGTAAGCTCCACTCCCCACAGGAGGCACGATGTGTCCTGTTAGTCGCAAGAAAGCTAGGACGAAGTGAATTCCACTGACCAGATCCTCCAATTATTTCCTAAAGAAGGAAAAGAAGAAAGAGAGGGGCAGGTGTTGATTGAGTTTGATGCCAGACGTTTTAAGTGAATCTTAAAATACCATCTGCGAGGTAGGTGTAATCATGTAGTAAAAAACAGGCACAGACAGGGGAAGGGACCGGGCAGTTAAGAGAGGAGCTTTGATTTAAAGCCACTGGCCTCCAAGCTAATGTGCCATCTGCTAACCCACACTGCTTCTGAGTAAACCAAAGGACCCATCCGCCACGTCACCTTGTGGGATCATCTCTTGCTATGGGCGTAGTGGGCACGCAGGGACATGGGGAGCCTGTGGGGCGGATTGATGGCTATGAAGGGCCCTGGGAACTCTGTTTCCCAGAGCTCAGTGGGCTCAGGTGGGCTGTGTTTATACTTCCACTGCTGGGGCATGCTGGAATCTCTACCACCTATCTTAGAATGGGCGTGGCTGGGGCACAGGGGTTCCCAAATAGACCTTGATGCCCAGTGGAGGTCAGGACCCTTAGGGGACTAGGGCTGACAAGCTGTCATCAAGAAAGTCACTTAATTGAGTGAGCCTCAGTGTCCTCATCCATCCAGTGGGTATGTTGAATTAGGTCATCTTAAGACCCTATCGTGCTTTGGTAGGAAATAGAGAAAAAATACAATTCATCTACCAACATACAGACCCACAATATCATGGTAGCAAATATGCACCTGTTGTAAAAGTGATTACTTCCGAGAACCTGTGTCAGAGTCTGCCAGAGGAGTATAAAATGACCTCAGAGAAGGATCCCGCAAAGATCTCGGACCCAGAACACATGTGTAACCCCAGCTGTAACAGCCATATGTGCAACATCTGACTGGCAACCGTCACTTTGCTGCCTAGAACGTGGAGGTTGGGGGGAGGTGACGGAGCGGGCCCTGCTCTCTCAAAATGTCGTGTCAGAGGACTTGGGAGCAAGCTCTTTCCTTTTCGGAGTAAATAATTCTGGGGCCAGCAGAGGCATTAATAACACCTTACTGACCTCAGAATCGAGTTCAGTCTTTACAAAACCAGCTTATTGTTCCCAACTTTCAAACAAGTGGTGCATTCACGTGTCAGGAAAACCAGACAGGCACGCGCACACACAGCTTAAGGCCACCACCTATCACAATCCTTTCTTCTCCAAGGACGCAAATCACGAACCAGGGACCAGGAAGATGCCGTGAGCTGTGTCACGCCGATGGGCGCTATCAGCCAAACCAAGCTGGTTCTGCCCACATCCTAGAACCTGGCAACTGGTTCCCTGCCAACGAGCCCCTGCCCCCTCCAGGTCCCTCCCGCACACTCAGGTGGCCTCCCCTGTAGCCCACAGCCACACCCGTCCCCATCCGGGTCTCAGTCCACCAGGCCCTGGGATAACCTGTGCCCACTCACCTCTTCCTCTTGGACTCTGTCATTCTTGCTTCGGAAAGTACTGAACCCTCCTTCTGGGGAGGGGGGGTCCGTTCTTCCTCCTCTGCAGGTGATTGTTTTTTAGCCCACTTTTTGGAAGGAGTACTTTTTTATCCAGGTCCCCCCTCGCCAAGGTGACCCACAGTTTGAACCCAAGGAAAGCACAGGCATGTCCTCCTATCAATGGGGACCGTGGCATCCTCGGAGGCCAGACACAACAGACACCAAAATGCAGGCACTGGCCAGTGAATGGAGGGCAACTGTCTGTACCTGAAACATCTGCTTGTTGGGTGTCCTGTAGATAAAACATCTGGGAAACCGAGCGCCTTAGTTTCCACCAGATGTTCTTTAGACATAGGCCATTACATGCAATCATTAGTTGCCCTTGGCAACACGCCCAGGAGTTCCAAATCAGGCAGATTCCTAAAGGGACTTTCTGTAAATAGTTGGAGGGGTGTTTCCACGAACATGAATTATGGAGCACCGGAAAGGAGAGACAGAGAGGTGACCTGCCAGGAGCCCTGGAGCTCTGCTCTCCCGATTGACAGGGTCTTGCTTAAACCAGGGTGCCCAGAGACCTATCATTTCAGGATAGAACATCTCAGACCTACCCAGCCCCACCTCCAAACCTAGGCTGGCTGACCTGAGGCTGTTTCTGTCCTTAGTGGATGGAAAGAACTAGAATGAAAACCACCTGGAACCTTCCACGGTCTTCACTGGATGTGTAGGTGGACCCAGAGCCTCCTTTTGGACAAGGATGCAGGCACCACACGTACAAAGACACTGTCACACTGTTTGGGTCAGTGTGCCATGGGTGACTTTAACGTGCTCATAGAACCAAGGAAACATCGGGCTAATTGAATTCTCAAAGAGCATCTAGTCCAACCCCTCCATTATATGGACAGGAAAAGACTTGCCCAAAGTCAAAGCAGGTTCATGGCACCAACGGAACTCAAACCACTAAGGCTTTCACCGTAGCCTGACTTTTGCACATACCAGGCCAGCCACTGCCCACTACTCCTGACGTGGTTTTAGGACCAGCAGGTGCCTGGGGGGTACCCAGGCATATCGCTCACCTCTGTCACTCTGTGTCTAGAAATGGGGGCGGCCGCAGTGGGACCTTCTGTGCCATCTGCAGTGTGTGTGAAATGATCCAGCAGCAAAACATCATCGACGTGTTCCACATTGTGAAAACGCTGCGTAACAACAAATCCAACATGGTGGAGACCCTGGTGAGTGTCCCAAGAGGCTTCTACCATGGCAGGGGACTGACCCTAGTTCCCTGATCTGGAGAAGACAGCCTCAGATAGTAAAAACACCCAACAGCTGGCTGCGTACAGAGTCCTGATGGGCCACAGCCTTTGTACACAGTTATTTCCTGCAAGGCAGCCCAAATACTCATCCTGATACACTAATCCTGATACCATAAATTCTGGCTTAGGGGAAGGGATTCTGGCTTAGGAGAGTGTGCATTATACTTTCAATTCAGTCCAATCCTATTCTAATTAACGTATGCAACTTGCACGGCGTAAGCACAGGGCTCAGACACCGTGCGGAAAGGGATGGACAGTACGTGGGCGGGCGGAGCCCAGGTCATCAGGCCCACTGCACAAGGAACTTTGCTCCAAGAGTCTTAACCGACTTGAAGCATGTTCCTACTCAAACTCTGGTCCACAGGCCAGCAGTGTCAGCATCACCTAGGCAGGCCCCTGATAGAAATGCAGAATCCCAACCCACTCCAGATTTACTCAGAGTCTGCATTTTAGAAAGATTCCTGGGTCCTTCATATGCACCTTACAGTCTGAGAGGCACTGGAGTCCAGAACGGTGAAAAGGAAAGGAATGACCCACTGGGCATCTGGGAAGGCGTGGGTGTAAGTAGGCATGGGGCAGAACTTGGGGGGATGTCCAGATACGGATAATTACGTGGGTAATTTTGAGTTGACTGTTAGTATGGATGTAGATAAAGTTTCCTCCAAAATCTGTATCTCTAACCTAAATGCATTTCCCCTTTCCTTTTCATCTCTCTCTCTTGCCTCCTCTACTCCCTCTCTGCCTCCCCCCTCTCAGGAACAGTATAAATTTGTATACGAGGCGGCACTGGAATATTTAAGCTCCTTTTAGTCCGATGGGATGGGGAGCCTGCCGGAGCCCAGAGGCTACTGCAGCCAAGCCCCCTTTTCTGTGAATGGCAGTGACTGGGCTCAGGGGCTAAGAGGCAGCACCCTGCCCAACTCCAAGGAGAAGACTGTGGTCCTGCGTTCCGTGGTGGGCTCTGCACCTTCCAAGGGGTCTCCTGTAGCTGTGGGAGATGCTGCTCTGAAAGGCCCAGGCTTCCCTTCCACACCCAACCAGCTGGGACCACGGGTCCGTGCACAAGTGCGCCCACGGCAAGGCCCTGGATTTTTCCGTTTCCAGACCTCCTGCTTTTGCTCTTTTCAAGTTTGTGAATCTCCTGGCAAGCCGGCTGTGTGAGTGTTGGGGAGTGACAGCCTCAGCAGCACGTCCCTGCCCTAGTTGTCCTTGGGAGTGGAGGGGGTGTGGGTTCTACTCCTCCATGCTGTCGTGGAAATGACTGGGCTCTTGGGGGTCCCTGCACTGCTGCCCCTTGTAGTCTCCTTCAGGGATCTCTGGCGCTGGACACCTGCCAGTCTGGATCAGTGTGAACCTCGGGATGCTCCCGACACCACAGCAGAGGCCCCCATTCTCACACCTAACCTGCATGGGGCTTGGCCCGATACCATTCTGTACCCCTCCCCTAGCCTAGGCCTTGACCCGTCATTCACTGGCCAGCCCACTGTGTCCAGCCTTTGATAAAGGTTCTCTTTGCTTTTCGTAGTCAGTGGGACGGGGGAGCGTGGAATTTTGCTGCTCTTCCTTGTCTCTGTGAAAAGGAACCATCTCTCTGGGGCAGGGCTCTGGCTGACCTTGTGTCTTTCGGGTGGTGGATAAGATTTGATTATTTTCCAAAGTGCATATGAAAAGAAACTTTCTTTGGGGGTGTAAAGTCTTAGTCTGTTATGCCAAAATAAAAGAGAGAGGGAAGTTTGGATGTGTAACTATAAGACAAATCTCTCGGGCCTCTCATCTTTCCTGGCAATGTCCTTAAAAGATCCCACCCTGGAACAGCACTGCTACTGAGCAAGGGAGACAGGCTCATCTGAGGACGGTCCCTTCAGTTTGTGGGACAGATAGAGTGCCAGCTTTGTGCATCATCTTGAATCTCCAAATTTGAATTCCCTCCTAGAGAAACCCTTAGCTGCCATCGTGAGAAAGGCCACAGTGGACCCAGGTATGTGGTCAAGGAGATCACACCAGGGATCTAGGATCTTATCCAAAGTATGGGTAAGTCAGTGACAGGGAACCAACATTTGCTAAGCACCTGCTATAGGCCAGGCTTGGCACGTTCCATATGACATTTCACGTGGTCCTAGACTCCCATGAGAGAACTACTAACCTGTGATCATCTCTACTTCATGACTGGGGAAACTGAGGCATCTTCCTCAGTGATGAAATTCTGGGTTCTGAAAAGGCAGACATTGGTGATAAGACTTATTCGTACTGTTTTCTTCATCGTTCTCAGCAAAGCAGTTATTTTATGGAGGGGAAAATAAGGCTAGAAACTTCCGAGCAGAGAACTCCACAATGGAAATTTAATTCTTTCTTTCTGATGTGAGTTCTTCTGGGAAGCCCAGAATTTCAGATATATTTTTAGTAATTCCTTCCCGGCTCCCCAGGAAAGCTAGTCTCTTCTCATTTCTTCACCAGTGAAAACAGATGCCTGTTCCCTCAGGCTGTGAGGTCGGCCGGCCAGGGACATGCTCTCTACCTTGGTCTCTACTGGGTGCTCAAGCACAGTATCTGGCAGCCTCGGGGTGGCCTGGGATCTAGGAAGCTCCGCTGGGAGGCCGGTCTAGCCCCAGACAGGGGATGAGGAACACAGAATTCAAGAAGGCACAGTTTTTGCACCCAAGAGCTCACTGTATACTGGAGAGATTGGACCCCAGTGCAGAGGTGGTAGAGCATATGAGTATTACAGGAACCTGGGAGCAAGACTCTGCCTGCCTAGGGCTTCCTAGAGGGGATGGCATCCACTCCAGCTGGATCTCAACAGATAGAAAAAGGAAAGAAAGGAAATCAGTCCCAGGAATCAGGATGTGCAGTGGCAAAGAGGTGTGAAAACTCCTTGGGTTGGGGGCCGGCAGGGGGGCACATGGTATGGTGGCAGGTGAGCCCAGCTGGAGCACAGCACTGCCGAAGGGGTGGCAGGGGATGAGCCAGGGTCAGGGAGAAGAGAGCTTACCTGGAGTATAGAATACCCCTGTGGGCAACAGGGGGCCAGCAGAGCTCCCGAGTGATGTGCTCGGCTCAGTGTTAGAGAAGACTCTCTCTGGGGCCAGTGGGGCTGCCTCTTCTTTCATCAGACACTGTGAAAACATTCCCTGAAGCGCGTGCTTTTTAATATCACATCTGTTTGTCTGTCTGCTCATTATTTTGTTGCTGGAACAAAATACACAGTGGATCATAAGACTCAGCTTCTGTGAGACACTCAGGGTCTCTGCTCTACCGTGGAGCAAGGTGACCAATCCAGGCCTCCAGACCCATGAGGCTGGGACATGAAAGGAGCCCACAGAAGTTGTTCCCATTGGCCTCGGCTCTGGAGCTGTCTGGAAGTCCAGGGACACCAGACTTGATCACAGAAGGGCTGTCACTTTGGAGGTTCAAAAGGAAGCATCTCAAAGGAAAGGAAGGCAAAGGAGTGCCACCCCACCCCCCGCAACAAACTCACTCTTCTCCTTTGATGGGTCTCTTCCCCAGTGTGCTTGAGCAGGTCCCCTGGCTCCAGTCCACGACTCCAGCCAGCCCTCACGCTGCCTTCAAGGAGCTGGTAACAAAGCAAATCAGCCTGTCCTATGCTCTTTTCTCAGATCATGGCTCATCCCTGCAGAATGGGGGAGGGGAGCTATCCAACACAAAGCCTAAGATTATTCTGCTCCAGAAGGGGTGACAGAGCTGGCAGATAAAAACGACACTGGCTTTTATCATTTCAAACGGTAGGAATCTAAAATGTGACTTCAGGGAGAAGGGAAATTGGAAAAATTCAGGCCATGGTGGGGTACCTGACCGAACAAGGCCAGCGATGGTTCCCCCAGCTAAGCGCCCCCCCATTTCCTCAAAACCTAGCCGCTCTCCAAAGAGGGCAGGGCAGTGAACAGGTCTTGGGCCTGTTTACAAGGGATGAAACTAAGGCTCATGATGGGGATATCCTCCCGAAGATTCCACATGATATGCATGTGGCAGGGCTTGGACGAGATGGGGCATCAGTGCCCTGGAATTTGGACTTGATCCAGTCCTTGGGAAATAAGAGCAAACACCACCTCCCCCAAGCTATCTTCCCACGCTGCTCCACTTAGAGGGTGGGCCACCTTTCACAAGGCAGAGGAAAATGGTATCCATGCTCTCTCAGCCTCCACAGCAGGAGCCAGCCTCTCATCTCTGGGGTGCCAAAGGGAGCGCCCCCACTTAGTACAGAGCCTCAGGGTCACCTTCTAGTTATGAACCCTGTTCGGAGGAGATGTGAGGAATTAGTGAGAAGCCAGAACCATCACCAGCCTCATGCGTTTGTGGCCTAGATGGCTTCAGGAATCACTTAGCTATGCCTCCACGAGCGCCCTTTCACCCTTTCTGGGCCTCTGGATGACCACAGCCCACCTCCCTTCGTGCAAACAGAAGGATCAGACTGCTTTTTAGGCTGGCCCTCTCTTTGTGTGTGGCCTGAGCAATAGCCTGCCAAAGGTTAGGCTTCCCATGGAACCAGCAGAACCTGTGTTGGGCAGAGGGCTCACTGAATTCTTCCAACATCCCTAAGCAGTGTTTGTGTTTGTCACCATTTTACAGATGAGGAAACGAAGGCTCAGAGAGGAGAAATCACTTGCCCACAGTTCCCCCAGTTAGTGAATAGGGGAGCCAGGAATTCAATTTCTTCTGACTTCAAAAACCATATTTTTCCACCACTGTGACTCAGATTTTCCCATGGGTCTACCCATAATGGCAAAGAGTAGAGTGGAACAGAAACCCAGTGGGTCTTGTAAAGCCCAAAGCAGACAAGCTTAAAATTCCTTCACAGTCTCTTGTTTTACTTTAACAATTCATGCAATACTTGCATTCCACTCTAATTTGCCTGATTTGTTTTAATAGGACTATTTTTTAAATGATGTGCTCTGAGGTCCTTCCAGCCCCTCAACTCCCTATGACAGAACCTAGGGAATCATATCCCAGTCTGAGAGGCATAGTGTCTGCACTGCTTCCTCCTGAGACCAATTCCAGACTCAGGCTCAAGACCAGCTCAACTTCCCCTAGACAGATGCTTTGGTGTGGGGGTACCACGACCTCACCATTCATGGGTCGATCTCAAGTTTCTTCCAGTTGGATGCTGAAAGGAACCCATTGGAAGGCATATCCTGGAATGATGAGGATGTGCCCATCTGGCATGGTGAAGGCTGAGCCCATAATACCCTAAAGGGAAAGGAGAAGATGTGCACAGCCTTTCTGAGCAGATTCCTGAATGCTGGGGCTTCTAGAAGGTGATGCCCTTTGTCCAGGTGGAGTCACATGGTTGCTAATGTGGGCAAATCTAAGGACATGCTTCACATGAGGGGCTGGGGTCTGGAAGTCTTCTCACTTTACTTCAACCACACATACATACTGGGTTCCTGCAACATGCCAGGCAGGGCACAGGAAGCACAGGTTATTATGGCACAGTTCATCCCTTGGTGAGGCATGGGGCTGTGGTTGGAAGAGCTTAGTCTTCAGTTCACGTCTCAGCGTGGCCATTTCTTAGCTATACAATGTTGGGCCAACCAATTAATGGAAAAGATGTGAAAAAAGGAGCCTCAGCTGGGTAGAAGGCATAGATTTGGAGAGCTTTGGGCAGGAAAACAGGAAGGCAAGGCCAAGGAGTTGGGACCCAACAGAAATACTCAAGGATGCACATGGACTACAGAGCAAAGTGGTCACTTCTGTTGCTCAGAAGGACAGGGGCTGGGGAGGGCTGGCCAGGACCACTGGAAGCAAGGATGTCGCTTTAGAACAAGTTTCAGTGTCCTGGAGAAAAGATGATAATTTTCCCTCTAACCAATCAAGTCATATCTATTCATCATCTGTTCCCTGTTGCTAAACTAGCTCCTGCTATATGTTCTCAGGAGGATCCACTTTCCTCAGCTCTGGTATGAATCCCTGTTGTGTGCATGTAGGTATCAGTCTAGTTAAGCTGCTGCAGACAGCAGAAGTGAGGCCCAGGGAGGAATAGCCAGGTACTCACCATGTCATCTCAGCAGGAGTAACTGCCCTACCCAGACCCAGAGACATCGAAGGAGATGCTAATTCTCCTACACCTCACTGCCGTAGAACAGAATGAAGAAAGCCGCCTTCCTTTAGCCCGCACCTGGCTACCCCTGGGCTAGGTAGACAGGCCGCCAGCACCCAGCTAAGTCAGCAGTAATGCCATGGGAAACACGAACAGCCCAAGAGTAGGAGGAGCAGGATGCTAACAGATTGTGCTGGGCCAGATCTGTGGGGACCAAAAGTCAACCCCACCTTCAGGGCAGATCAGAAGATGAGACATGAATCCTGTGGATGGCCATTTCATCTCTAAGCCCTGACCTGCCTTCCTCATCATCCAACTAGTCTGAGCTCTTTCTCAGCTGATGATGCCAACTCCAAATCACAGCCCAATAAAACAGGAAAAAGATAAAGTGAATCCAACTAGAGAAGACCAGATGAGATTCATCATTATTCCTATATTCCCATGCAAGGGTTCAAATTTGGAGATTTCCCATGGATATATAACTGAAAGTGATAAAATATATGGTGTTGGCATCACCCAGCAGGGATCTGCCTCTGACGTCATATACAATCTGAGTAGCAGGGAGAGAAGTCCATGGCGAAGAGTGGAGGGGCTACTGTACTCATTTCCTCTGACACATATTTCAGGATATGACCCTTAGAAGCACAGCAGAGATGTCTAAGCCATATTAATGCACATGAGAAGACTTTCTTCTGGTTTACTGGTAACCAGAGGTAGATTTTTGCATACCACTGGCTGTGCAACTATCTTGTAGAGACCAAGACCACCTCTTGCATCCCTCCTACCCACCCTCAGAAAAGATGGGAAAAGGTCATCAAAAGGGCCACATTCACCCCTGTGAAATCCACTCATAAATTTTCGTCCCCAAGAGGTGAAGTCAGCACCCACAGTGGTAGACCCCACGCCTGGCATCTTAGCTATCTAAGAGCTTGGGGGTAGTCTACTGGGGCTGATAGAAGGGATGTGAGAAGACTCAGGATGAGTCTATAGGGAAGACCCTTTGGGGCTGGATCACCATGGAACATCCTTCGGAGCTGCTCTGGGTGATGGGATTTAGACCCTGATCCTTGGTTGGGATGTTCAGAGAATTAGAGTCTGGGGGCAGTAGAGCACTGGACAGGAAGGTATTGGTGTGCAAGCCTGGAGCTCAGGATAGTTCATGGTTCCTTGGTGAGTGGAACTCTTAGATTTGGGGGAGGAAGGGGAATGTGAAAGAACCTGCCAACAGTGCACAACTGAATTCCTATAAGCATACTTCAGTGCACTTGGGTTTGTGAATACAAATCTGTAGACCTCCTATGGGATGATCTAACAAGCTCTCAATGCTCACCATGCCCCCCTGCCCCTCCCATGGAAGATCAGTGATGGAAGCTATTCCTTGGGTCAAAGCCCCAGGGCAGTCTGGAGCCTCAGAGGGCCAAGCGGTGTCATCCCAGGTCAAATCAGACTTCCAAAGGGTCAGGCAGAATGCTAGTGCCCATATGCCTAGAGATCATTGGACAAATTCAAGCATGGTTTGCTAGTCCCCGGTCTCTCTTTTGAGTGGAACTAGGATCAATGCATGAATTTGATGATTGTAAGGAAGAACTTGCTGTGTGCCAGAGAGGATGAGCTGCCCATCTCAGCAGTGGTCCAGCAGAGGCCAGACTTTAAAGAGAATAAGGAGCATTGCTGAGGTGACCCTGAACTTTCCTCCACCCTAGATGGGTGATCTGTTATGGAGCTGGGACTGTATTTGAACTCCTTCATTCCTGTAGAGCACAAAGCCAAGGCTGTGCTTGGTCTGTGCAGGTTGAAGTCCCCTAATCTCCTGCCCCAGTCTTCCAACCATGCAGACCAAGATGCTGCTCTGGCCCCATATCCAGGGCTCATCCAGGCTGGTTATCACCAAAAAGTCCAGAAAGAATGGCCGCTTTGCCATAGACCCATGCCCACCAAGATCTGGGATGAGATCAACCCTAGCTCAGGCCCACTGGCCATCAGGGCCATCAGTGACAGCCAGAACTAGTAAAGTTTCAAGCAGAACCCAGAGCAGGGCTTTGCTTACCACATGCATGATCTGCAGAGGTTACTTCTCCCCACTCCCCACTTGAGGCCTGTTGGAGCAGACTGCAAAAGCAAAAGCATAGTGACTCTGTTGGCACGTAATTATAATCATCCCCAGGGTGTCCGTTTCCTTGCCAGATGGATCCTGGGCTAGCCCAGGTGAATCCCGGCTATCCCATGTTGGCAGTCAGACTCAAAAGCACTTCTCTACCTTCTGTTTTCACCCAACATAACTAGCCAACGAAAGGCAAAGAGAGCTTCTAAGGTTGCTTTGGCTACTGGACACCATCATCATCCTCTAAGGGCCATCATGGGGTTCCCACTCGACTCTAGGGAGACTGACATCATCACATCCACTGGGCATATGATATTGCATGAGACCAAAGTCTCCACACTGTTTGCAGCCTTCTCCGTGAATCCCAATGGCCTGCGCTTGTACAGTTTGGGTGTTTGGTAGATAAAGCACGTATGAGAAGAGAAAACAAAATAAATCAACTTTTAAAAAAAAAAGCCAGCACTGTGCTGTCAGTGTTCTTTTTTTTTTCTTTTTCCTTTCCAATTCTAGCTTAAAAAAGCAGAAGGTAAATAATGTCAGGTCAATGAATATCAGATATATTTTTTGACTGTACATTACAGTGAAGTGTAATCTTTTTACACCTGCAAGTCCATCTTATTTATTCTTGTAAATGTTCCCTGACAATGTTTGTAATATGGCTGTGTTGAAAATCTATACAATAAAGCTGTGACCCTGAGATTCATGTTTTCCTAAGATATTCGCACTGGTGTCTTCCTGGGGTTGGTGAGGGTGAGGGGAAGACAAGTAGAAGGAGGAGGAGGAGAAAATACTAGGGTTTCTTTGTGTTCATTTAATCCTCATGTCTACAGTGCAGGAAAATGTGTATTAGCCCCTTTTTGCAGATGAGAAAGTTGGAGGTTCAAAAATGTTAAGGGATTTTTCATGATTATATACTGAGCTAGTAAAAGGGTTGAGTCTAAAAGTTTTTCCCCCAAGTATGGTCCATAGAGCAATGGTACCAGATTCACTCAGGAAGTTTATTAACAGACAAATTTTTAAGACCCTACAGAATTGCAGTTTCAAGATCTGAATAGTAACAAACTGCCTGGATATAGAAGTTACTGCTGCATAACATACCACCCCAAAATTCAGTGACTTGAAACAACAGTCATTTGTGGTTGTCCCTTTGTCCTTGGTCATGTTAATCTCACTTATTCTGCCTGCCATATTTATTCTTTTGCCACAAATGTAATAGTTGACATTGGGAAAATAAAATGAGAAAGAAGGAGAAACCTTGCATATCTCCTAATAACAAAAATACTTTGGGGCATATCATTTTTCCCCCACATGGAAATACCTTTTTAAGAGTTATTATAAAAGTAGCATATGCTTACTTGAAAGAACTCAATACAAAATTGTTTGTGACATAAAGTGAAAGTCACCACTTCTCAAAGGTGCCTTATTAATATTTTTATGCCTTTCCAGACCTTTCTACACATCTATAAACATATATACATACACATACATGCGGATAGGCTTCCTTCCACCTAACATCATACTGTGGACATGAAGCTTATGCATGCTTACCACCATTTCCATGGACATCTGCTTAAATAGCTGTTATCTTTCTTGACCCCCTCCCAGTACATCTGCAACCTGAGGGTAACCTGGTTTGAGTATGTCAAGACTCAGGTGCTCTCACAGTGATGTCTTTGAGCCATCATTAACACTGAGGGATGCCAACCCCTGTGTGATCCAACCTGGAGACTGGCCACAGTGGCACAATCCTCTTTTCATGGCTGCTAGCTGCCCAGGTGGGTCCTGGCCTGGCCCTCCTTTCTGGCTGGACCTGGAGTGTGGGTCCACATCAAACCTCACAGCACCTTGTTGGATACTGATGGGTAGCTCTGGTTTGGCTTAAGATCTTCCTCTAATCCAGGAGTTCAAGCTTTCCACATGAACTCCAGGGGACCTAGAAGCCCTCAGACTCTTTTTTTTTTTTTTTTTAAGACTTTTATTTATTTAACAGAGAGAGAGAGCACAAGTAGGCAAAGCGGCAGACAGAGGGAGAGGGAGAAGCAGGCTCTCTGCTGAGCAGGGAGCCCAATGTGGGGCTCGATCCCAGTATCCTGGGATCATGTCCTGAGCTGAAGGCAGCCACTTAACCGACTGAGCCACCCAGGCGCCCCAAGCCCTCAGACTCTTAAGAACATGGCATGAGGTCACCGACATGCCATGCAAGAGGTGAGAAGGGGAATTTAATTTCTCTGGGCATGGAGTAGAGATCTAGCACCCACAGACAGATGACACCCACAGACTGATAACCAGAGACAGGAGCATGGCAATAAACCCATGGAAATTGGGAGAAACTGAGGAGGATTTCAGTTTCCACAGTCCATGGATTAGGCACTGGATCAAAGTTGAATTAATTATTCAAGAACAGCCAGAGTACACGGAAGGATGGAGAAACATATGGAGAAAAATAGATGCATAGAGAAAATAAATGGAATGTACAAGTGAATGACTGTATCAGTATATTAATAGCAATTATCTCTCATCATAGAGAACATGAGTAATTTTTGTTCTTCTTTACATGTTCTATATTTTCTAAATTTTATATTATTCTCATACCTTGAAAAACCCAATTATATAAAAAGGTGGGGAGAGCAGAACATAGGAAAAAATAGGGAGAGCAGGATAGACAAGATGACACCTGGAATGGGACCATACCCAAAAGACTTGCCTTACATCTGGAGGAAGAGGTTCAAAAACTTGGCACTGCCCAACCACCCAAGAAGGAGAACACAGTCAATTAATTTAATGTCCAAAAGGGAAAAATAAACCAGTTGCTCAGCATAAATAAAAGTATTCTTGCTACAGAGGCAAAAAGTAATTTTTTCTATGAGTCCCCTTAATAAAAAGAATAGCTTAGCAGAATGCAACATTTCCCTCCCTGAAGGCTGATGGTCTCTTGCCATGGAACAACTTGATGAAAGCTCTTTACTGGAGGACCAAACTGAAGGGGCCCAACTATAAAGTTCTCTGCAAGTCAACCTGAGCCAGGTATAGGTATTAACATGTCCTTTTGAATGATGAGGACCCTAACAACTATATGTGCTCAGATAGAAGGTGGGTTCATCCCTCTATGGGGTGAGGTGGGGTGGGGCAGGGCCAAAAAGCCATCGTCATCCCAGGTTCTGACCATGGCTGACTCCATCTGATCCTACTTCCCTCTAAAATACCTACACATTCATAAAAGCTGGAAACTTGGCTGCCAAGCCACTGAGTGAATCTGGGAGGAATTTCCTCTGATTACAAGACATTTGGAGCTGAAATGAGAATCATAATCAGTGGTTGGTGCTGAATCATGGTTTGCTACCTAAACCATGTGAAGGAGCTTCAGAGAAGATGAAGCGGTTCATCCCTCCAGATGGTCTGCACTCACTCAGAAAATTGGCCAATCGTCCATTTCTATCCCCTGGGAGATGAAATGACATTAATAAAAACCTCTTTGGGAGGGGGAATGGCAAGGAGAAACTTGCGTGTTGAGGATTTGCACTTTCATGTCCCCAAGCTGTTCAGAGCAGCCCAGAGGGAGGCAGGGAGAGGAGAACATGGTGTCATCTGAACATGTACGAGACTGGGTAAAGCAGATGCCTACTGTGTCACTTCAAATATCCTCAACCTCACCTCTGATATCCTCCGTGGCTGTTTTGAGCAAGCAGCCTTCTGCAGATTCCACACAGGGGAAGCCACAGTGCCTCCCCTCAGACCTGCTCTGCACCTTTTGCTCCTGCCTCATAGCTTCTGACATGTGCTCTCAGATGCCCACAGGAACCCACTTAGCAGTCATGTGCGTGCCACCCAGAAGTATGGGGGAGCTAACTGTCCCCGCCGCCGCCACCATGGGGCAAACTTTGACCAATAGGAGACTGGAGCCTGTAAACAAACTCTTTCTCTGTTCTTGCCTCTGAAGGCAATTCTGAGCTATATTTCATGACTTTGTATATGGTTCCAAAACAAGCAAACAGACCCTTGTAGGAGTAGCCAACTGCATAGCACAACCTTGTATTGCTTCTCCCTCCCTCCTTTTCCAATTTACACCTCCTACTCTCGTTGCTTCTTGGAATCATATCTTCAAATAAAACGTTATCCTAGGCTTGGCTTTGAGGGGGTACTAACTAGGAAACTGGGCTAAGCTATGCACAGTACCCCACCTTCCAGCTACTAATCTGAAATGGGCCAGTTAAGCTTTTGATCCAGGGACAAAAATGGAATTGGTGTAAAGTGATTCATATGGGAGAATCTACATACAGTCTTGTCCTAGGTTCATCCTATGTGTCACGTTAATTCACTACTCAGATTTGGGAACAGGAATCCTGCCTTCCCATATTCTTGCTGAAAATAGTAATCCTGCCCAGTAGACAGTAAGAAGGACCATAAGTGGCCCCAAGGGAGCCCTACTATGAGCACTAGCACAATGGGGTGGGTTGGCTGGTGGAGCAGGGGAATGTCTGCCCACAGAACCGGAAGCCTGCAGCAATACTTCCTTCCAGCCCGCCCTTGACAGGATGTGGCTCCTGACAAAACGTGTAGGCAGCTGGTTCCCAATGGGGGAAATTGTGCCAGGAAAAGGTAGAGAGGAAGGGTGTCCAGCCAACACTAACAGATACAAGCCTCTTCAGGGCTGATGAAGTTTCTACACTGAGAGCCCCAGCTCTGGCTAAGCCCCCTGCCCTCACAGGCTGTCAGATTTCTCAACTGACAGAGAAAAATAACCAAGTCTCACCTCCTTCCCCTTCCTTCTTCTTCCCCCACCATGTTCTCTGGCAGCTCCCAACTCTGAGCAAGCTCAGAACTCCACTTATAAGGATGAACAAACAGGAATACATCACCAGACACATGAAAAGATGCAAGAGTTCAAAGCCAAGGTTCACTTTGAGAAATCAGAGAAAGTGCCTGCCTGTGAAATCAAGGTTCTTGCCAGGGAAAGGAAGACATTGTACAATGAATACAAATGGAGAAAAACACTAGATTTCATAACTGAGTCCAAGAAATTTTTTGTTGTATCCAACCAAATTGCTGACAATGCTAACCAAAATAAAACACAAATATTCAAAATTAGGAAATAGAAAAGGGATATTATGGTGAAAAGGGAAATTATGCAATGTAATAAAAGGGTATTATGAACAACCCTGGAGACTAATTTTAAAATCTTGATCAAGTGGATCATTTTAGGAAAGTATGAATGTTACCAAAATTGGCTCAAGAAATAGAAAAGCTGAGTAGACCAGTTATCAGAAAAAAATGTTTATGTTGTTAATTTTTCCCTAGAAGATGCAAGAACAGATAGTTTTAAGAGCACACTTGGTCAAACTTTTGAACAAAAATACAATTCTTATGTTGAATGTACTATTCCAGAACAATGCAAATGAGGGAAAGCTTCCCAACTTATATTATGGATATTATGAAGCTAAAATGGCATAGAAACCAAATCTAAAAAGTACACATACACACACACCTAAAACTTTTAGACCAGTCACATTTATAAATGCAAAGATTTTTACCAAATTTTATTATATTTAGCTGCTTTTTAAAAATAATATACCATGTCCAGGTAGCCTGTATGCCAGGAATCCAAGAATAACTCAATATTAGGAAGTCTACAGATAAAAGGAGAAAGACATATAATTATCTTAATACTGAAAAAGCATTTGACAAAATTTAGTATCAATTTC